CCACAGAAAGCCGAGAAGTCGTAGCTCATTAAACTCTCTTGTGTCCCATTATAACAGTGTGTGTTGCCTTTGCGGATTGTCATTATCATATATTACTGCGGGACTCAGCAGTGCTGTTTGTTTATGCATTACATTTTTTCCCCTGCTTATCCAGCCCCCACCCACCCCCCCAAGCCTGTTTTTCCTGCATGGTATATACCACTCTGGGGATTGCGAAGGTGCAGCCTTCCTCCCTCGCTGGATAAATAATGACTTTTTTAGTGAAAGCCAAATTTATTTTCCTAAAGCTAGATTAACTGCAGCCTCGGTCTGTGTCGGGGACTCTGCGGTGTTTTGTTTTCAGTGTGTTTGTGCTTGCGAGGCGGGTGAATGATGTTTACTACAGTCGTGCCAACCCTCGTAGCAGGAAGGGGCACGTTAGGTAGGAGCCATCGCAGCACATGACGATGGGGAGGGGGACCACACGCAACCGGGGCTGATTGGTCAGTACGTTTCCTCGGCCAGGATTCTTGTACTTTTACTGCAAATGGAATGTGGCCTGGAGAGTCGGGCACCAAGCTGAGAGTCAGGAGAAGGGGGGTTCACTGTCCAGGTCTGTCCTTGGCTCATAGCGTGACCCAGGCCCAGTCACTGAACCTCCCTGGATGAGTTTTTCCTCCTCAGTAAAATAGGGGTAACCCTCCTCGCATGAGTGCCACGGCAGTGGCTGCAGGGCAGCGTGCAAAGCCTGCTGGATGGAAGAAGCTCTAGAGAGGCAAAACTTTGATTTACTCTTGACAGTGTCCTGATCCTCTCATGCTGGGAATGGAACCTGGGCACCAGCTGTGGGTGCACAAGCACCTGGAGTGTGGCGGGGCCGAGAGTATTTTATTAACTGGACTCTAAGCATTCTCGAAGGCTCATTATTTGGAAGGCTTTATCGTAGTGGGAGGCCTGCCAGCAATTCCACTTTATTGTTCAGTCTCTCTGAGATGGCCGTCACTTTCTGTAGCCAATTGCAATATCCAGCGAGTGTGAAATATACAAAGGACACAGGCCAGCGAGCTGGACTCCCCTGCAGATTTGCATTCTTAGTGCTGTGCCTGATCAAGACCAAATAAAAGATTTGGAGGTGCTGAAAGCAGGCCAGGCCAGGGGAAGGGCGGGGACTGAGTGCCCCCCCCCAGCAGTGTGCAGATGCCCAGAGGGGGCAGGCTGAGGCCCCTGTTTTCCAGGTTATTGCCAAGAAGCTGGCTGGCTTCCCCTTCCCAGTAATTAGTGCAATCAGCTCATTTCTCCCAGAGGCCGGGTTCCCTTGTTAGACCCACAATAGAGGTCTCCCTACGGGATGGGGAGCAACCAGATACTGGACACAGTGCTGGTATATAATACTCTAATACTCACAAAACAAACCTTACTCACTCCACATTCATACCCCAAACATACTATACCAGAGTCCAAAGGTCAGAATGGTCCCGATGGCCAGTCGAGATTCCTTCCGATTATAAGATGCGGGGAGCTGGCAAAAACCACATCTATATCCACACAGGGCTCTGGATCAATAAACAACTCCGATTTGCAGAAATCATAGGCAACCATTTATAGTCCATTCCGTCATGTCCCCAGTTCTTTGCCTTTGTTTACTAGGCCTTCTACCCACACAATTCCAGAGACAATCCTGGGCAGGCCGCCACGATCCAAGGCGTGCCATTTCCTCCAATTCTTATACAATTTTATATCAGTCCAGCTGGTGGTGTTTCCTTTTCTGCTGATTCTTCGTATTTTTCTCGGAACATAACAAGATTGTTTTTGCACAAATCGTTCTAATAGTTCTTGACCTTAAGTTCTTGCTTCTGTTGCCAACTTGCAACGCACGTATTCGTGTCAAGCACGCGTCATTCATACCAGGCCTCAATGACCTATAACATATTACATGGCTATATGAATGTGTGTGTGTGTGTGTGTATCCCAACAGCCTAGCTCTGCCGCTGGGTTGGGAGTTCTCAAGAGACACTGCCTGCTCACCCTCACATCTTGTCAGCAGGAAGGACTGGAAGCCCCATGTGTCTCCAGAGGGGGAATGCGGTGCAGGTGCTTGGAAATGCAGGGACCTTTGCTCGTTTCTCTGATGATTCCCACTTGGGACCCAGAAGATCGCCCTCTCTGGTGCCAGGGTCTCATCATCACTGTTTTAGGGTGCTCGCTGGCCAAAGCTGGCCTTTCTTTCGGAAGCTTGTCTTCGCTCTACAACGCCACACAGCTGCCCTGTTTTCTTTTATAGCATTGACCTTTGATGAACACAAAGGCTGGTTTATAATCTGCAGCCTTATTTTTCACTTTCTCCTTGGTTATTTTTTGGGGCGGGGAAGGCGGTACTAGGAGTTCAGGAGACCACGGTATAAGAGAAATCTTGCCAGCATTTTCTTTCCAGCATGTCTCTGAATTGTTAGCTCCTATTCCTCCACTGGGACTTTACTGTTTAGCTATTGATACTGCACTGGCTGTGAGTTAGATGGTTTGCAGTGACCTAGGAGCACAGGATCCCTGCCAGAAGGAGTTTACAATCTGATCTTGTGTGAAACTGTTCTCCCTTCTTTGCGTGGGAGACCTAGGAGCTACCTGGGAGAGGACGTGCCAGAGTGGGACTTGGAGCAGAGAGGAGTGTTGTGGTACAGATGGCTGGGTCAGGGTGGCGGTGTGCTCCGGGCTGAGAGGAGTGCGGGGCAGAAGGCGCAGAGCTGGCTGGAGGATGGGCAGTTCCAACGGTTAGCTATGGGGCAGGGAGGAAGACAAAAGAAGATGGGTTGTGCAAGTCCTAGAGGGTCAGGACAGCCTTCTTCCGACTGCCTGGCAGCCTGTTGCGTATGGTGTTGGTGTCGGCTCAGCTTCCAACAGCCCAGTGTCCACCACGTCACGAGCTGTCATGCCCAGTCGCCATCTTTGCTGGCACGTCTCCGAGCAAGGAGACTCCACCCCTTCGCCAGTCTTCTCTTCAGGCTGAAACGAAACCGGGGCTGTGCGAGGAGGGTGGGGACCAAGGCCAAGACCTGTCCTGGCCAACTCGTACGCTCTCCAAGCCCCTGGAAAGCATTGTTGTTGTCCAGTGATTGTCAGAAATGTGACAGTTGGCCCTCGAAGCTTGAATGACTCCCACCAGTAAACGGGTTCAGTCCAGCCTGCGCCAGGCCATACTGGGGCTGTCACCTTTTCCAGGCAACCTGCGTGAGGCTGGTGAAAGAATGTGCAGCTGCTCCATCTCTGTGCCCGTGTGATCGCTGATCCCCTATGCATTGTGGGAAATGCCAGCTGAGCCAAGCCATAGTTACTGGGTCAGTCTGGTCTCTTGTGGGGTCGGTCGAGAGCTGCCCCTTTTAGCTGGGAAAGAGGAGCAAGGAAGTGCATGCCTTTCTTTTTATTTTATTTAAATATTCCGTATGGATATAAAAACATCTCTGGCATCTGCAATGCAAAGCCTGACTTGTCGATGTAAAATCGTACTCTCTATTCTGCCCAGGTTTATATGAGTGAATTATGCAAATTTTTGATGGAAAAATATTCCTCCTCACATCCTTGAGAGTGTAAAACCTTAGTCAATAATTCATAGTCGTGTGTCTCAGACTGGAGGCTTTCTCTTCATTATAACTTGCACCTAGTTATTTGTCTTTCACATTTTATTGTATATGCTGGTGTAATGCTATGCATTATAAAATTTATCTGCTTCATTATTTTATGATCCTGAGCTGTATAATGCAACAAAACGATTCTGTTTCTGACTGCATGGCCTATTGGCTGTATCTGCAGCTGATAAACGGCATTTGGCCACCTCACTGATGCTGTTTGTGGGGTAAACTTTGAGCCTGCTGAGCAGGGAGTTGGGTGTGCCCTGCCCACGTGCCTGGGGATGGCAGAATTGTCTTTAATTCTCCAAGTGCAGGGGTGGAAATTAGCCCCTGTGTGTCTCAGCGCATCCCCAGCACGAGGGAAATCTTGGACTGGTTCAAATGTGCTTAAAAACACAATTAAATGGGCCTATGTGGTGGTGGTGGTTTGTTGTGAATAGTACGGAAGTCCTTCGCTGTGTCAGTTAATACAGAAGTGTGTGTTCACTAACAACTCCTAATTCTCTAGCCTTTCACCCCGTGGAGCATGGCTGGAGTCTGGCCACACATGTAATACATGTCGTGTTCTCTCTAACGTTTAGTGGGCACATAGTGCAGAGTAAGGACACGCTAGCTGAGTACTGCAGTTAGCCAGGTCCTTTCGTGTCCGAGCGCCTTGCAGTGGGGAATGGGTTTTATCCGCACAGCTCCCCACGGAGGGAGGACGGTATTCTCACCGTTGTACAGCTGGAGAGATGAGATGTCGACATCTGTAGCTCAGCTGGGAGGTGAACCCAGATCTCTTGAGTCCCATCCACTGCCCTGCCCACTAGACCGCCCTTCCTGGCAGCCCCCTCTTTAATGCCTGGTCGGTTACTAGAGCCGGAGAGCAACGTTCATTAGGTATCTGATTATTGCTGGCTCCTATGGGGCTGGCAGCTCCAGCCACATCAGCTGCTGCTGTCTAGGGCACAGGGATGGTGACGCCAGCAACAGAGTGCAGACCTATTCCTGGCTCATTTCAGCCTTGGAGCCCCACGGCCGGTGCCCTCTCTGGCCACAGAGCTTCCCAGGCTAACTGAGCAGGGAGTGATCCCCCCTCTCGTGGGCACAGCAGCTCCTGGGGACCCCGCACATGGCTCTGACGTGCTGGGCTGTGTGTGAGGGAAGAGTACCCGGCATGAGTATTGCAGCCTTTGGAAGGCAGCAGGGGGTCATGGTCGGTGGCTGGGGGATCGCTGACCTTAGCGCTCTGCAGTAAATCTGCTTTGAAGGCAGCCAGTTTAGCCTTGGCCAGATCGATTTGCTGTAGTTGTGAGCGTCAGAACAGTGCATTTGCTAAGTTTCCCTAGGTCTCTTCTGCCTCACACCGTAGCACGTGTCTCTGAAGCCTCTGCTACTCATTTCTTCCCCTCCTCTCAGTCCCAGCCATGATCACTTCCCATCCCAACACGACCATCGCGATCAAGGGCCAGATGAAGGAGTTGAATTGCACAGCCCGAGGGGAGCGGCCAATCATCATTCGCTGGGAGAAAGGCGACACTGTCATCGACCCCGACCGCAACATGAGATATGCCATCACCACCAAGGATAACAGTGACGAGGTCATTTCAACGCTCAAGGTGAGAGAGCTCTGGGTGAGATGCGCCAGCGCTGAGGTCCATGAGTGGAGCACTGGTGCATTTCACACTCCAACGGGGTTTGGTTACATTTCTGATCACAAGGGGTCACCCTCCTCTTTCCATTTGCTGCTCCATGACCTGCCTGTGTCGGGAACAGCCTGAGAGCAGTTTGACTGCACACATGTGGCATTACTCAGGCTGTTCTATAAAAAGCACCTTCCCCCTCAGCTGGGGAAATTGTTGAATTTCTTATGAGAAATTTTTCAGTTTTATTGAAAAAAATTAAAACTCGAAAGATGATTATTGGGTGTGTCAAAAAAGGGAAAACTTCCAATGAAATGAATCTTTCCCCTCAATTCATCCAAACAAAGATGGAAACTTTCCAGCTCACTCCAGTGGAGAAGCACCGTGTGTGTGTGTGTGTGTGTGTGTGTGTGTGTGTGTGTGTGTGTGTGTGTGTGTGTGTGAGCTCCTCGGTGTCGGGAGCCTGGGTGGCACAGTTATCACACCTGAAGAAGTAGCTCAGGTCCTTCTCTCCTGGCCTGGGGCCAGGCTTTCATTGGGTGTTGTTAGAGATTGGTAAGCTCATTTTGCTGGCACTTGAATCCACTAAAACGTAAGTTCAAAAATGTGCCTCGTGGATGTCGCTGGGGTTTGGCCAGCTCTGGAGAGACTGCAGAAAAGTGGAGGGGAGAAAAGGAATCTAGACATTGGCCTCAGTTTGGGGTGGGGAGAAACACCTGACTTTAGAGTGCACGCTCCGTAAGGCATGGATGGGGGGCACTTTGGGTAGCTGCACCGGCTGTCAGCATAACAAAGGGGAGAATTGGGCTTGTGTGTTTTCTGTTTAGTGTATCTCACCAGTTGTACAGTTACAGCGCTGTGCGAATAACAAGCACGTCTCCTGCATTAAGGCATATTGTGCCCTCACTGTCACAACGGCAGCGAAATTCTGAAACGGTCTCATTTTTACCCCTTACATATCCACAGCTTAAACCAGCCGACCGGGGGGACTCCGTCTTCTTCTCCTGCCATGCGATCAATTCTTATGGTGAAGATAGAGGGTTGATCCAGCTCACTGTCCAAGGTACTTGTTTTCCACCTGCTAGGTAGAATCATAGAAATGTGGGGCTGGAAGGGACCGGGGGAGGCCATCTAGTCCTTCCTCTGCGCTAAGGTAGTACCAGGTAAGCCTAGACCTTCCCTGACAAGTGTTTGCCGGACCTGTTCTTAAAAATCTCCAGTGCCGGGGATTCCACAGCCTGCCTTGGGAGCCTGTTCCAGAGCTTAACTAGCCTTAGAGTTAGACGGTTTTTCCTAATATCTAATTTAAATCTCCCTGGCTGCAGATTAAGCCCATTATTCCTTGTCCTGCCTTCAGTGGACGTGGAGAACAATTGATCACTGCCCTCTTTATAACAGCCCTTAATGTATTGGAAGACTGTTCCCAGGTACCCCCCTCAGTTGTCTTTTCTCAAGGCCAAACATCCCCATTTTTTTATCCTTTCCTCATAGCTCAAGTTTTCTAAACCTTTCATCATGTTTGTTGCTCTCTCTGGGATTCTCTCCAGTTTGTCCACCTCTTTCTTAAAGTTTGGCGCTCAGAACTGGACACCTGAGAGGAACCTGGGTCACCTGGGGTGGATTCTTCATCCCTGGAAAATTTTAAATCGCGTTTAGATGTTTTTCTAAAAGATCTGCTCTAGTTCAAATAGGTGTTAATACCAGAAGTCCTGTGGCCTGTGCTTTGCAGGAGGTCAGACTAGATGATCACTGTGGTCCCTTGTGGGTTTATAGCCTACAAATCTTTGACCCCGTGGGGATGAAGAGAGCATACCTGTTCAAGCAAGCATTCAATCATGCGCTCAAGTCCCATTTAGAGGAACTTAAGCCTGTGTTTAACGCATATGCAAGTGCTTTCCTGAGTCATGGCCTGCAAAAGCTTGTTGCAGAGAAGGTGCCAAGTATGAGATCATGTGCAGTTCATGCAGGACAGAGACTGCACAAAGAGGTCTGCTTCTTACTCCACATGCAGCTTGCCCGTGTGTCTTTGAGTCATACCCGCTCACTTCGTACAAACCAGGCTTAATGCATGTGAAGTCTGCACAACCGATACAGCTACGGGACAGGGAGCTGGGTCTGGTCTGCCTTCAGCATCGTCAACAAAATTGCCAGCTAAATTCTGACTGCAAGATCTTTTGTGATCTTCTGCCCTGAAATCCATTGGGCCTTAAAATGCAAGTCAGCTCCTGCAAACAAAATGAAGTAACCATCCAACTCCCTTCCTCTGTGTGGGAAGGGAAGAATGTCACCATCAGGGGTGAAATGGTTTTCATATTGCTGGGAATGGTTTATTCACTTGGCCTCAACTTTTTCTCTCCAAGAGCCTCCTGACCCTCCAGAGCTGGAGATTCGTGAGGTGAAAGCCCGAAGCATGAACTTGCGCTGGACTCAGAGATTTGATGGAAACAGCATCATCACTGGCTTTGATATCGAATACAAGAATAAATCTGGTAGGTGATTGCATTTTCCCCCTGCTACGTATGTATAATCTAAACTGAAACAAACGTGCTTCTGTGGAGTTGTTATCCATGGGTACAAATCTAAAACAGCAGAAGAAGACAATAGTCTGTGTGTCAGCATAGGAGATCACGTTTACTATGCTTGAGGAAGAACTTATCATTAGAGCTAGAGGGAATATTTCAACAAAATGGCCTTTGTCAGAAAAGGCTGATTTGACAGCACCAAAGCGTTTTGCAGGAAAGGGTTGGTTACCACAAATTTTTCAACTCAAAAAGTTTCTGAGGAAAAAGCATTCTGAAGTTGTTGAAACATTAAATTTTGACGTTTTTGTGAAAAATTCTGGTTTTCTGGTTCAAAATTACTTTTCATTTCAAAATTTCAGCGAATTATATGGAAGGGGTTGGTTTGCAAATATTTTTGATATTTTGATTTTTTTGGGTCAATTCTGAACAGGAAATTTTTTTCAAAACCTCAAAATTGTCCCCGTCCCCCCCCCCCCACAGCTCTACTTGGTACTGTCGGTGAGACCCGAACTGCTGGGAATTACCAGGGTCGTTTTTCTGCTTCCTGCTGGAATAGTGGAACAGAACTGAGTTTTGTGTAGAGGTTTCTGTTCCCAATGCAGCGGGCTGGAGGCTGATCTTACTGTGACTTTGCAGATCAGTACATGCTCTGAAAGGAGAGTTTTATAGCCCGCGCCTGCAAAGTTCTAAGCACTGAGCCACCTGCACTGGTTAAAATGACTCCTGAGCTGCTGCAGCTGCTTCCTGTGTGCACGGGGGCTGCCCTGGGAGAGGGGGCTCTGGTCCCGCCAGCTCAGTGATGGGAGAGGGGCAGGGGAAGAAACACTTCATCTTGCTCCAGCCAGGACCCTGGCACCCTGCCACCCTGTGGCTCCAGCCCCACATTCTCAGCAGTGGCAGGGAGGGTGTTCAGGCCTCACCCCCCCCCCCCAGTCTTTCTTGGGGAGAGGGGTCTCCTTCTGGGACTTCTGCTGCCACTTTCTCCACCTCCTGAGGACAGGTGGGGCCATTCCAGGGAAGGGAGGGGATGCAGGCCTCGTCTGTGCATTCTTGCATGGTGTTTAAAGGGAATATTCTGCATCCCGGTCCCTTTGATGAAGAAAGGAGAGAGCGGCATTAATGAAATATGTTAATTTGTGTTCGATGGGAGCGTTTGAAAGGGAATGTTAAAAGAGACAATATTTGCAAACAGCCAAACCTGAAGTTATACAAAAGCAAGGAGGGAAAAACCTGGCATCTTGAAACGTGGGAACCAGATAAACAAAGGCCATAAGTAAACAATAAAATAGTCATCCCGGGCCTGGCTGTCCGAGCTGATGGGAAAAGGCACTTTTCAGAGACGTCACAGTACCTTGCAGAATATTGGGTCGAATCGACCCAGAAATTCCCCTGAGGGCCCATTGCCTGGGAAGCATGGCTGGAAAATGCCCTTTGCCACCAGAGATCCCATTTTGGCCCCCTTGCTGTGATCCAGCCTGGGTTAATGCCCTGTAGTGAGCAGTGCTGCCAGGAGGAATTTTGTTAATTTCTTCAGCTGAGCTCCCCAGTTCACGTTGGCGCCTCTGCCTGGCACGTTTGGGCGGCACATCTGTGGTGATGCCAAACTTGAAGCTGCGTGCATAGCGGACATGTTAAACGGTGTTTGTAGAGCAGTGTAACCCTAACCCTCACCGCATTCCTCTCCCGAATGGCTTCCTTTCTGAGGTCTCTGCATGTGAAGAGTTGATCAGGCCTGATTTCTACGTACACCTCTGGGGCAGTGGGCAAAGTCTGGTTCATTGCAAGGCCCCTTTACCCTGCCAGAACACAGAAAATAGACCAGAGTGTAAATGAAAATCTGGCCCCCTCTGGGTTTTTATTAGTGGGAATGGGGAAGATTAATTGTATGTGTGACGTCTGCAATGGGACTTTGTCCTGGTACAGCACATGTGGACGGTACTGCTGACCTGTGCACGTGTTTTATGCTTTTGTATTGTGTTCATGATCTTGGGGAAATGTTTTCCTGCCCTGCTTTACCGTTAACCCCTGTGAAACAGAAAGACCCTTAAACATCTAAAGCCCCTTTCTGCGCTGAGAATGCTGTTGGTTTGGTTTTTGCACATCACAGTCATGGCTGGACAGTGAAACTAGCCCGGTTCATTCCCTGTGTAGCTCTCCTGCTGCAACTGGGCTGTCAAAGCTTCAGGGAAATGTTTACATCACACTCCGATCTTGAAAGCGCCTTGTGTGGTGGGGGACATCAGGAAAACATTTCATTTTGTATTATTTGTTTTTATTTAGTTAAAAAATGAATCCAACATCTATATGTAGTTCAGTAGGAAGATCTAGATTCCTAATCTTCTGGTAGTATTTCAGGTGCCTTCTTTTGGAAGCCTAAGATTCTGCCTCTTTCCCACACCTCCACTAGAGTCTGTCGCTTTTCAACAATGTCTCTACAGGAGATGAGCTGATGATGATTTTCTGAACAATCAGATATGAAATGGAAATATCTCAACTTGTGCTCACCCCATTAAAAATAATGCGTGTCTGTCTGTGTCTGTGTCTGTTTTGCTTCCAAGTTAATTAAACCCAGGCCAAACACAGAGCCCCATACACCTCACCCATGTACTGCTCCAGCTCCTCATCAGGATAATTTTAGGCATTAAGGGCTTGATCTTGCAGGATACTGAGCGATTCCTGGAAGCACTGAAGAGCCTCAGCTCCCCTGGAGGCCAGTGGGGAGGGAAGTGCTCAGTGCCTTGGTGAATTAGGTGCAAAAAGAGGGAACTGTATAAGCTATCGGCTCCACACTTCAGCAACCCGCAGCTGTGAGTCAGCACACTCTTGGCAGCAGGTTCATGCATCTCCTGGCATTACCAAGCACGGCTCCTTCTCCATCTTCAGCACTCCCTGCTGTTTACAGAAGGTTCCAGATGCTCTGCCCTGCGTGGGTGGCGTAAATGTGTCCGGGCACTGAGGAGTTGGCATGTTTGTGGCTCAGTGGGAAGGGAGTCATGAGACAGGAAGACGTGGTGGTGTGTGAGACAGGCAGATGCAAGTTCTGGGGCATTGTGTTATTGGGATCCTACCAAAATGAACTGGCATGCTAGCCTGTGGGGCTGACAGAGCCTCTGCAGAGCCATTAACTCCAGGACTCTTTGTAGGATCCCTGTCCTCTTTCACTGTGTTATTTTTTTTCCAGATTCCTGGGATTTTAAGCAATCTACCCGCAACATCTCTCCCACCATTAACCAGGCTAATATAGTGGACCTGCACCCAGCCTCCGTGTACAGCATCCGCATGTACTCCTTCAACAAGATCGGGCGCAGCGAGCCGAGCAAGGAGCTCACCATCAGCACTGAGGAAGCAGGTGCTTCTCGCTCATGCATTTTCCTCTGCTGGGTGCATGCCTCCTGCACTCCTTTCTCTGGCTATACAGGCCTTTCCCCGCACTCTGGCCGCTCATTTGTTCGGGAGGTGACAGGGAGAGGGAGTTACCGGGAAAGACAAATTACGTTGGATGCAGAATTGAGCCTGTGGTGCTGGATGGGAAAAGTCTGAGGCTGTGTGTGTGGGAGAGGCCGTGCGCAGGCAGGAGTGGATTGCTGCCCTGCCTGGGTCAGCGTGTCCCGGCTTTCGCTGCGCCAATTAACAGGCAACTGATGAGTTGTGCCCAGGCCACAGGAACTGCCCTTGGTGCTGAGCACAGTCTTCCTATTGGCAATGAGGAGCCGGGAGCTTTCCGTGGTCCTGACCAAGCGACTCGGGAATAAGGGAGCTGATGGGGGATGCTCCTTGTCCTGGCCTGTGTCCATACTACCGCATGCCACAGGACTTGGGGAATGAGCTGTTCAGGCCTCCCCCTTTGTCATTACCTTCAGCACACAGTTAGGGCACTGCAAATCCCTGGCGTGGTGCAGCCTGCCTGCACACAAGCCAGCAGTGAACGCGTCTCCGTCAGCAAAGCAAATGTTCCCGCCTGGGCAGCTACCTCAGCTAGTCACTCTCACCCGCGGAGATTCAGCAGGAGTTTGACCCCTGCACAATTCCGAAGATGTGCAGGAATGCACACGTATATACTGACTGACCTGCGAGCCTCTGGGAACCAAGATTCCTCAGCTGAAGTTTTTAGAGAGATTTCTGAGCAGAGCATGAAATCTGTGCTGTTAAATCACAGCTGTTTTTATGTGCGTGTGTTTCACCTTTGCTCATTTCACTGTGTGTGCGAACCCCTGTAAGGAACCAAGTCCTCTTCTCAAACACTCACAAAGGGATTGATTTCCTCTCTGGCTAGGACCTGCACGTGGGCCCAGCCAAACGTGTATCGGAGGAGCAATACAGCTGGCATGTTGGATAACGTTCTCCAAGTCTGAGATGGGGAGTGCGCTCTCTCTCTGCGTGATGTCCTCTCTCTAGAATGGCTACATTCATCACTTTAACCACCCTTGTGCACTCAGCAGTGCTGCATTAGTCAGTGGGAAATGAGAGCTGAACTGGGAAGGATGAAAAAGCTTTTATTTAAAGCACAGTTTATTTCAAGAATAGAGAAGGCGGGAGGGACTCAGGTGATAGTACCCACGTGCATTTATTTTTCTCTAGCCCTCTGTTGTTGGCTTTCCCCTGTGATGGTTGCCCCACTGGAGAGTTGTTTCTTTAAAGCAAGTTTTGCTACAAGGGACTCCTTTCTCTGCAGCTTGTAAACATGACTCTGTTTGATCTGTTTAACCACAGCTCCGGATGGGCCCCCAATGGATGTCACCTTGCAGCCAATGACATCGCAGAGCATCCAGGTCACCTGGAAGGTACATTGTTTGGCAGGGGAGAGAGGGGGTTGCTATGTGTGGAGTTCTGTTGGCATGGTGATACCCCTAATGTCAATGATATAAGGCGGCAGGCCCATTGCCTGTACAGCACCCTGGATGGCACATTAGAGCTACTGGTGCCTTGGGCAAGTCACTTCGTTTCTCTGTGCCTCACTTTCCCCATCTGAAATGGAAATATAATGCTCACATATTTCACAAGGAGGCTTAGTCAGTTAGTGGCCATAAAGCGCTTTGAGATTGTTAGATGAAAATGCACTAGAGATGTGCTAAACGTGATAGTTGTTTCATTATGGCAGTGATGTAAGGAAGCTGGTTTTAGGAGCAAGAATATCTAGGATGACAATCCTAAACAGCAGCCCTGCTCCTGTGGCTCAGAATGTCTTGGATCATCACCTATCACCAGGATGCCCAGGCCCAAGTAAAATTCACTAGAAGAATGAAAACTTCAGGGCTAGATGAGTACCCCAGTTGCGTCACATGAGGTCCTTCCTAATCATGTTTTATAAGATGCTTATTATCTTACAGGATATCCATGCAGGGTGGAAAGGATAAATATGTAAAAATCAAGACACTTGGCTACAAAATGCTTGCGCAAAGATCAATAAAATTTAGAATCAGATTTATTTTTCAGAAGCTGCATTGGAAAAATAAAATTGATTATAAAGTTAAGACTTCAGAATGAACCAGCAAGTCAATAAATTTAGGGCTCCATCTTCTATTCCTCCCCTCCCCTTTAGCATTGAAAAACAGATTAATGAAAAATAAGATTCACTTGAAAAATAAGTCACTTGGTTTTAAGAGTATTTCAGCGAGATGGATTGCTGTGGCTTTATAACATAAATTTGCAATCAGCCCTATTGATTTCTTAATGCTTCAGAGAAATATTGTTAAAATTGATTTAAACCTGGCTTCGTGCATTTTTAAGGCTGTCAGCCTCTTTCCCCCCCTCCTAATCAGATCATCCAACTTGAGTCCTAGCCCTGACCAGGTGTTGTAAATCGTTACTTCCTCATCAGCCAATCAGCATCCAGTTATCAGCCCCTCTGCCAGGCTCTGAATGGCTCTGGTTTTGTTACTATTTGATTATCAGCATCTGAGCACTGCCTAGTAGAAGCCAAAATGCAAGAGTATTTTAAAAAATCAACCAACAAAGATCCGGTCAGACTGAAAACCAAAGGATAGGGCCCAGGAGCAAAACCTCGTCGCCTGTAAGATGAGCCACTCACTATTCCAAAGAAGCAGCGCCCCCTGGCACGAAGGATGCAGAATGAGATTACACACAAACAGCAAAGAAACACAAACTAGGAAGGGGCCCAAACAGCCAGGATGGGCCAGTTCAGATGAATGCACCCAAGTGTGCCCTAAAGAAAGTCAGAGAGGGAGTAGGAGGCCCTTCCCCGCAGCTGAGAGAGTCTGGTCTTCATCCCAGTCCAGCATGGACCTAGGGAACAATGGAAGACCTGCCCTGGCTGGGCAGGAGAAGTGGGGAGAGCTGAGTTGCAAAGGGCTTTGTAGACCACTAATAAAACTCCTGGCACTTAACCAGCCATTTCTATTTCCAAAGCACCATACGCATTCAGAGACAGTCTTACAGGCTCTCTCCCCTTGTGAGCTGGGGTCAGTAGGATCAGCCCCAGGGGTGAATAAAGCACATGAAGTATTTGCCCTAGCTCTGAGCAGAGCGGCAATTAGAACACATGGGCTCAGTGCACATGGGCACGCTGCTTCAGGTCACTAAGACCTCCCGTTTTGCTGCGTGTTGTCCCTGGCAGTGCTGGGGGAGCACTGATGGGCTGATGAGGTAGGGGTGGATGCTGCCCATCCTGTGACCTTGCTCCATCTGTATCCCCGCTTCTGCAGGCCCCAAAGAAAGAACTCCAGAATGGGGTGATCCGTGGCTACCAGATTGGCTACCGGGAAAACAGCCCCGGCAGCAACGGGCAATACAGCATTGTGGAGATGAAGGCCACGGGGGACAGTGAGGTCTACACTTTGGACAACCTGAAGAAGTTTGCACAGTATGGGGTCGTGGTGCAGGCGTTCAACCGCGCAGGGACGGGGCCCTCCTCCAGTGAGATCAATGCCACCACGCTCGAGGATGGTAAGCATGCCGAGGTGCCCGGGCATACAGACAAGGGCACAGAGACATCTGGAAGGGCCTCCAGCCATTCTGAGGGTGTTTGTTCTCCAGGTCTCGGGTGCAGCCTGATTAGTCTGGGGCAGCAGCAGTGGAAACTCGAGGTGGGGTAGGCCTTGTCAACACAGGGGATTTGCACCCTCTGGCTAGCATCATGCAAACCCCTAGTGTAGACGATTTGCACCCTGCTTTCAAGCATAGCAAACAGCAATGGTACAACTAGCAACTCTGGACTGTCTACCCCAGTCCAGGGAGCTGGCCACCCATGGCTGAAACTCAGTAGAGGCAAGGCCCTAGAGCGTATATAGCAGGTGGGCAGCAGTGTCTCTGCCTCTCGTTCTGGCTCCATCTGTCAGCCCTTCCCTCTATGAAATAACATCTTGGTGATTTCCTGTGTGTTGCGTAGAAAGCAATTTACAGCTGCCTGACCCCTCTGCCCACTTTTCATCCATGGCCAGCACAGAAAACGCTTTTGGGCTCTGCCCCCTTCTGGTAAGGGGCAGAGCATCTGTGATATTTTCCCTGCATGATGGACAGGGAGGCTGGCTTTCATTATATCACATGGTTTTGATTTTTTATATATATAATATTATTTTTTCCCAAAAACAAAAAGACCCGAGTCAGTGTGCGGGGACCCAAATTACACTGGATTTGTAGTCTAATTAAAGGGATGTCAGGGTGGATTTACACATCCCTGATCATTCTTAAGTGAATGGAGAGCCCACTAATCCTGCAGGAGCTATTACCTGATTCGGTATTACCAGGCCATTCTTGGCAGAGCCCCTGCCACTCTGGTGTATTTCAAACTACCTGCATAGGGGGGAAATGGCTTGAGTTTCCTGCCCCAGTAATTCAAACCCAGGATGGGGAAAGCCTCTGCACCTTCCCTCAGTGTCTCATTTCTGAGCTGCATGACACTTCATGGAAAGGATCTGCTTACTTTGCTGATCTTCCTCCTATATCAGCTGAGTCTCCAGCAGCAGAGAGATCTGAGAGTAGCAGGGAAGTAGCAAATTCCCCACCCCATGAACCGTCTCTGATAGAGCCTAGGAGCTGATGCAGGTGCATCTCCACTGAAATATCTGTCTGTGCCCTCTAAAGAGCATTGGTACCTGGCAAAGAACATTAGTCACTTAAACTGGGTCAAACTCTTTCCCCACCCCACTTGCCCTGCAGGGGGAGGGTGTGGTCTAGTGGTCTCAGAACTCCTGGCTTCTGCGTGAACTCTCCTGGGCCCCTTTGCAAATTGCAGCTGAAGTGACTTACCCATCTCCCTTGTGTTTCACTGGGTCAGATAGGGCCAAATTTTGGGTGCCTCAAATCTGGGTCAGATTTTTCCGAAGTGGGCTCTGATTCTGGGTTCCTAGCTTGACATACAAAAAGCCTGGTTGTCGGGGTACTGCACACCCACAGCTCCAATTGACTTCCGCTGGCATAGCGAGTGTTCACAACCTCTCAAAATCAGGCCCTGTATGTCTAACGCTAGGAACCCACATGGGAAAATCTGACCCATGGCCTCTGTGATGTAGCTTCCCCATCTGTGGAATGGGCTGACGCTGCTCGCCTTGTTGTAGCTGTGCTAATATCTGCAGAATGCGCCAAGGCCCTTGGAGGGGAGGGACTGTGGCAGTGCCAGGTGGTGGTACGTGAATCTGTCGTCCTGTTCAAATGGCTGCCACAGACCAGACTCTAGCTGAATTGGAGTAATTTTCTGTTAAGCAAACTTCAGAGCCTGGAAAACGCCAACAGCCATGCGCATACAGCTGAATGCTGCGAAAACAGCCATGTGAATTCAGGGGACTAGCTCTCAATAAAGGAACCGATTCATTTTCTTATGATTAATACTTACTTCCAGCTCATGCAAATGAGTTGAGAGACAAAGACAATATGTCAGAGTATCCGAGGTGACTGGGGACCCCTCTTCCGCAGCACCATGCCCGCAGCTCTGTGCTCCGAGTTTGTCCTTCAGGCTGGCATTTATTTCATCTTGTGTTTAAAATTTCATGGTTGCATCTCCTCTTTCATGCTCATGGCACGATTCCTGTTTTGCTAGCAGCCCCGATCTTCCCTCTGCCAGGGCTGAGGCAGGGAGCACTTCAACAACAATCACAAGGAAGCAAAAGGCGGGGAGGAGGGAATTAAACAGAAGAAGGTTCTATTTAAAAAGGAAAGAGCTTAGCATGGAGGGTCTTGCTGGCAGGTGGTGCATGAAACCGTGTGCAGGCTCCCAGCCCAGGCAGGGAGCTCAGTGGGCAAGGGGGACACAATCATATGCACTGCAGTCCTGCCCTGCACGTCTAGTGGCACCTGTCCTCTGAAGAGCTCAGAGCACTTCGGGGGTGCTAATTAAGCTTCATGCAGCCTTGCTCGGTAGGTAGGTGTTATGCCCATTTGGCTGACGTGAGCTCTGGCACAGAGGTTAAGTGACTTGTTCAGGATCACACATGGTTTGCTATTGGCAGAGTTGGGAATAGAGCCCTGGTCGATGCACCCTTGTTCTCACCGCAAGACACACACTCCCTCTGCCCAAACAATAGGAGAGCTTCATAAATTCCATCTGGGAGCAAGGGGGCGTGGGCGCCGCAGTGCCGCAGTGGGGAGGTGGGGTTCTGTGCCTGGCTCCGTTAGTGACTTGCTGTGTGACCTGCAGCAAGTCATGTAACCTCTCTGCACCAGAGTGGTCATGTCAGTAAAGTGGGACTAGCAGTCCTTGCCCTCCAGTGTCAAGGGCTACGAGGTCCCTGGCTGAAAGGTGCTATGTAAGTGCTAAGCCTTAATGGGTATTTGGGGCTGCCCCAGCCTGTGCTGCCCTGCCAGGCACGGGCTCAGCTTCCAGCCTTTTTCAGTGGCTGAACGTGCCCTGGAAGCTGCAGGTAGCAGCTGGAGGAGGCCCAGCCTGTGAGCGCTGGCAGCTGCTCTACCTGCTCCTTGCAGGGTTGTTTTACAAAGTGCCTTAGAGGTTTCCATTGGGGAGAGATCGTGGTTGGCCTCGGAGTCATTTTAAAAACAAAAAAAAAGTTTCACACTGCATTTGCTCAGCAGTTTTTCATACTTAATTAAGGCTCTCATTAGCCTGTCAAAGCATGATCATTTCCTGGCTCTATTAGCACTCCTCCTGGGGTATTCAAGGGCCCCTGTTTTAGCAATAGTGTCTTTTCCATAATTATATTGCCTTCATTTTGTTCAAACGGACTCTCTGTATTAGTTTATTACACTCAGTCCCTAATTACATGGTGCTTATATTTTTACACCTAAGTAATATGAAACAATAATCATTTTCAAAGAGGATCGTTAGGATGATGTATTATCATTTAAATGCTCATAAAAATTAGAGTTACCTCTTATGGGGCAATGGGATCTAATTACCTTGCATCCAGCTAGCGCTCCTGTTTCTTCCCTTTGTTCTAAGTGCAGTGTAGACATTCTTCCTGCTTCCTGGATTACGGGGCTCTAGTTGGTTTTGAAGAAGCTGTGAAGTTTCACCCAGTTGTGCTGGCAAAGAATTTTTGGTGGACTGAAGGTTGGGGCAAAACTTCTGGGGCTGGGTCAGTTCTGCATCTCCCTGGTGGATAGATGTGCCGCTGCAGAGCAACACATTTCTAGGGTGTCCTTCACACAGTGTTGACCTTGGGCACCCTACTGGTTCTGCAGCACTACTTGTGTTCTGGTACACGCAGAGGTCCCAGCCCAGCTCGGGTCCCCTTTCTGCCAGGTGTGTTTCAAATGCTGCCATCCAGAACAGCACCTGGGAAAGCGGGAGTGGTTTGACTTGTAGCTGAGCAGAGACCACAATCCTGGAGTGGGATTATGTAACTTCTCAGGAGTCCCATGAGAGTTCCCTGGGTCAAACGAAAGCTGTTTTGGCCCTGTGTCTGGGGGTATTTCACAGGTCCGCCTGGCAATCCACTTTGCCCCCTGCCATCTCCAGCTCTTCTCTTGACAATGTGCAGGAAGGGGCAGGACTTCACGAGAGCAGAGGCAGCGGAGATGTGAAATGAATGGTGTGGGTGTGGCACACCCCAGGCCCTCCCCCGGGTGATTAATACAAAGCAATATGGACAAAGCTCTGGTACCTCTTCCTGCTCTGTTTACCCAATGCCAGGCCCCTTCTGTAGTTTTGATCCTCAACTTCAAAAGCAGAGAGAATTCAGGGGGCTGGTCAGACTGAACCCCCAGTGCTGTGCCTCCCTCCGCCCTGCTGAATGGCTCAGCAGCGTGGCGCTGGAGATGGAAGGGTAAACCCCTGGAAGGCCTCCCAGAAGGCAGCGCAGCACCTGCAGTGCTGGCTCCCTGGGCGTCGATGCTGTGTAGCCATGACCCCATTGGGCTGGTGGTTCTGAGGCTTAGCGAATGTCCCCGGCGGGGGTGACACCTCTGTGTAATGCCTGCCGCCTGTTCCCTGACACCCTGAGGCAGTGAGCTCCCTTTGCTGGGCAGAAGAGGGTGTCTGGAACCTGGCTGCTTGCTTAGGGGTAGCACCTGTGTTAAGCAGCCAGCCTGTAGAAGTGCCCAAGCTGGTCCCACCCTTATGCCAAGCCCACGGTCCCCCTTCTCCTCCCAACCCCAAATCTGCCACTGGCCAACCCCAGCCCTAACCCTACATTTTGAAACTGTGTTCTATGTGAGTCCACCTTTGCTTTCGCGAGCTCAGCCTCACGTATGTTGTTTGCCACTTTATTTTGATGACCTCTCAATAGATAGCAGCAGGTCTGCTCCTTTAGCCATGACTCAGTTTACAAGACCCTGTGCTGCAAACTCAGCCTTTATTTGGTTAATTTCACTCCAGGGCATGCTCAAACCAGGGCTTTAGCGTCAAGACTGGTGGCAGCCCTGTGGCTGTGTTTGCACTGCAGCTTGGAGGTGTCATTCCCAGTAACAGTAAAAATTGCAGCATGGACTTTGCAGCACTGGTTGGGGCTTGGGCTAGCCACCCAAGTCCAAACCTGCCTGACCCCTGTATCTGAGCTCAGGTGGCTAGCCCAAGCCCCCACCAGTGCCGCACCACCCACACCACTATTTTGTGCACACTAGCTCGAGCTGAGCTATTGCGAATCTGTTTGTCTCCACTGGGAATCACACCTCCCCAGCTGCAGTGTAGATGTACGCTGTGTTACCCTACTCGGACTGCAGGCTAGACAGCACCCACCCTTTAGCAAAGGACCGTTCTGCTGGGCTCCCTGACTCCAGCGCTGCCTGCCACTGGTTCAGTTTTGCATGTTCTAACCCACATTTGGGCTGCTGCTAACATCACTCTCAGTCCAAGCTTTGCTGCAGAATGGAGCCCTCTCTGGTGGGTGGGCAGCTGCCGGCGCAGTGAGAGGTGCTGGCCTAGCTGCCCAGAAAGGCTGGGATTAGAGCTTGGTGGAAAGCAGAAGTTCCAGCCCCTGGAAATTCCAATATTTCAACTTTTGTTTTTGTCTCAAAATATCAAAAATATTCACAGAACTTTGGAAGAGATGGAATGCGTCACTTGGACATTTGCAAATCGACCCTTTTCAGAACTTATCAATCAAAGTCAAGTGCTCTGATATCTCACAGCGTCATTCTTCACTTTGAAATGTTGATTTGAAATAAAATGTCATTTTAATGTCACGCTGAAACCACATATTTTGAGTCAAAACAAAACGTTACACAAGGCAAAATTATGAAATCATAATTTTTCCTGTGGGAACATTTCGGTTTTGATGAGCCCATGTTTTCTGATGGGAATGGTTTTTTCATTGGGAAATTGTGACCCAGTCCAGTTGGGATCCAACTGCATGTAGCACCCCGTTGTGGTCTGGCTTCTCACGTGCTCCAAGATGGCGAATCTGAGAGTCAGAAATTCTTACCTGCTCATTGCTCACAAATGCAGCGGGGAGCCAAACCCTAAGAATAGATGTTGTGAGGACTAAACTACCTGAACAGACAGATGGTGAGAGCATTACCGATGCTCTGCTCATATAGCACTGCATCCTCCCTCACTGATTCATTCTCTCTCTCTCTCTCTCCATGGACTCTTCCATCAGTTCCCAGCCAGCCCCCGGAGAACGTGAGGGCATTATCCATCACGTCAGATGTGGCTGTGATCTCCTGGTCGGAGCCCCCGCGCAGTACCCTGAATGGCGTGCTCAAGGGGTACAGGGTGATCTTCTGGTCTCTCTATATGGACGGAGGTGAGGGCTCGGATGGGCTTCCCTTTTTTTGCTTTGTTTCTTACTCTCCTTATTCTAAAATGTTACACGAATTTGAGACCCGTGGCTAGATCTGCCATAATGGAGGCTGGAAATGTGCGAGTCCCCTGCCTCACCTGCACACACACCTGTAACTCCACTTAGCCCCTGACTTTCAAGCTCCCGGCTATTGCAGTCCGCTGCCATGCCTGCTGCATTGCTCGGTTTTTTTCCCCGTGACTGTGGAAATGTCCATAAAGAGCCAGGATGTCACTTGTGACCTGGGCCAGCATGTCAATTGGATCCTGTGCTTGTAGAGCTGAGCAATGGAGCCCGTCCCCACGCTTGCTCTCAGGGGCCCTGTGCGTTGGTAGTCCACAGAGCCATGTGGGAGGAAAGTTGGGAATTACCCAGCCTGGGCACAGGGAAGGTCAGAAGCTGGGCCCAGAAGCTGAAGGAATAGCTCTGCGGAGATGGGCTGGTAATCTGGGTTGTAATGCAGCTAGCTTCGCTGTCCCTGTCTCTCTGCCTGGCCTGAAAGCAATGAGTGATCTTGGTGCCTGGTTGAGACACCTGGAAGTGCATGGCCCAGGTCCTGCAATGGGAGGGTGAGCGGGAGCAGCGAATCTAAGCCTGCCGAGGTTGCCTGGGGAACAGGCTGGTTCTGAGCCCCGGACTGATCCCCTTGTCGTGTTTCCACTGCAGAGTGGGGGGAGATGCAGAACATCACCACCACGCGGGAGCGAGTGGAGTTGCGGGGAATGGAGAAGTTCACCAACTACAGCGTCCAGGTTCTGGCATACACGCAGGCCGGCGACGGTGTCCGCAGCAGCGTCCTCTACATCCAGACCAAGGAGGACAGTGAGTGATGCTCAAGCATGATGGGGCCCCTCCTGCCCAGAATGGCCTGGAGCGGGGTGGGGGGGGGTGTCACAGGTCGGGGATGGGGGAGGGCAAGAAGGTTGCTGGTACAGTCGGGGTGGGGATGCTGGGGCAGCCAGGGCATGGGGTGCTGGTTTAGCTAGGGCATGGCATGGCATGCCTGAGGTGCTGGGAGGAGAGAGCAAAGGAGCAGGAGGTGGCAGGGGGAAGATAATGGCCCTGCTCAATATTAAGTGCCTGTTTGACTGAGGAGCCTGAGGAAATGGGCTGCCCTCACCAGTGGCTCCAGCCAGTGCCCCATGGCAAATGCTGACTCAGCCAGACAGTCTGGGAGGGCCCCAGCTCCTGTCTTTTCCCCCTGCAGAGCACAGCCCTAGACCCTGCTTGCTAGCCCAGTGCCTGCTGCATAGGAGCCCCCCGCCCAGCGCCCCCCCCCCGTCGTGCCAGCCCTCTGGCCAGCATGGAATATGATGCTGGCCCCCCGACTGCGCCAAGCCAGTGGGGTCTCTAAGGCTGAGCTGAGAACATTCTTGCTGCTGGGTGGTTTGGGCCAGTCTGAGGGGAGGATATGGGAAGCCCATGTAACTCACTTCCCCCATCCTCCCAAGTACAGTGATGCGCCGGGGTTCTCCAGTGAGATGCCGTGAGGTGTCATCGGCGCTGGATTGGAGTCCTCTAGGGGTGCGCAGGCATGGGGCTGTCCTGGCTCTCTCTCTCCCCCCCGCTCTCGGTTCCTTTCAGGGGTTTGCTTCTGATGCCTTAATCTACTTGTCCACAGCTCTCAGCCAGTCTGTCCCTCCCAGCTCCCATGCTGAGATCGGGCTGGATAGCTGGGGCATCAAGCAGAAAGACTTGAGCGCAGGATAGGGAGGTGTCAGCCAGGTTTGGTGTCTGTCCCTTCCAACTGCACTGGGCCCCAGGGGGATTGGCATCCTCTCTTCTGGCTGGGGACAGCCCTGAGGGCAGATGATTCCACCCTGGTTGTGTTGTTTGGAGTCCCTGTGCATTTGCTACCTCTGGGCAGTCGATACCTCCCTGTGCTCTTCATAAAGGAACCGCAACCCGAGCAGTGCAGTTGGGTCTGAGTTTCAGATACTTTATATAACAATCCCTCCCTCCAAGAGGTGCAGCAAAGCTTGCTCTTCTCAGGTCCGAGGTTTGGCTCACCACATCCACTGGTGCTAGCAGAGAAGGGGGTGGGGGAGGTTATGGATTTAAACATCTGTGTGTGTTCCCCTTACCCTGGCTGATACACTATTAACACGTGTTAATTAGAATTAAGAAGATTCAGCTGTGAATGAGTGATTAGCAATGAAAAAAACAGCCAAGATGTTTCCCAGGCCACAGAATCGAGAAGAAAGACAAATTAGGGCTCATAAAGGATTAGACAGGAATTTAGGCTGATTTTTTACTTCTTCCCCTTCTTCTCGCGTTAAGAAGCGACACGCAGTCCCAGTTGCAGAAAGCTGAGCTGATTCCCTGGCAGACTTTGAATGGAGCAGAGATTTGGCACGTTTACAATACAGTGTGTGTGTGTGGGGGGGGTATGTATGGGGTGGTGGAGGAGGGTGTGTGTGCATGAGGTGGTGGGTGGGGCACCCCTGGCCCCAGCAGACCGTGACTGGAGCTCTTACATAATCCTTCTGACTGCGGTATACAAGGGGTTCTCCAAATAAAAACAGGTCTTCTCCCTTCTCCTTCCCCTGAGCAGGCGGGAATCAGAGTAGAAGAAAAAGGCAAAGGTGGCCAGTCTCGTAGGCAGGCGTTTGGTCGCTCTTTAGGGTTCAGTTTCTCTGTGGGTCGTAGGGTCTCTGCTCAGAGCTAGGGACTGCCTCCAGCTCCTCCTTTTCGTCATCCCCATCTTATACCTGCTCCATGCGCTCTCAGGGGCAGTAAGGTCAGTGACTGTCTTCCTCTTTGCTGATCTGTCCCTGTAGCCTTTGCCTTTTGAGCTTCCTCCATCCCAGCAGAGCAAGCCATACAGGTGAGTCTGGTTAGTGCTGCGAGAGCCCACTCTGTTAGGACTTGTCTACATTACCCGCTGGATCCACGGGCAGTGATCGATCCAGTGGGGTCGATTTATCGTGTCTAGTGAAGAATGCGGCAGAACGCGGGTCCAGGTGGATGCAGAGGACGCTGGCTTTGACTTGGTTGAGTGCATGAGTGAGGAGGGCACGGGACAGCTAGTAGGACAAACCCTGAACCCTCTCAAGAGACTGGTTTTACTGTGACTAAGAGAAACAGAACCTCAACCCTTCTTAAAAGGGGGTCACTCAGCCACAGGCACCAAAAGGCACCCCTAGTTTAAACGTGCGAGGGATAAGACCTTACACCCTGGTTAAAGGGCAGTCATTTAGCCTGGCGTGTCAAAGTGACCTGTGGCTTAATTAGCAGGGCAAAGGAGACCCAAACCCTCCTTACAGGGTGGTCCCTAAGCCGGGGGCGTTGCAATGGGCCAGAGCGTAAAGCGCAGAAAAGAAGAGACCTCCGTTCCCTCAGGAGAGGGTGGTCTCTTTCCCCAGCAAGTGCCAACGGCCCAAGAGGAGTTAGAAAGGGAGACCTGCACCTTTCTTACAGGGAGAGGTCAATGGCACAGGGCATTTGAAAGGCTAGGTCCTAAGGAGCTCAAACCCACAGAGACCTCAACCCTTCTTAAAGGGGGGTCGCTCAGCCTCAGCTATGGAAGGGACCCATAAAGCATTTTGGTTGGCGAGGAATGGACCTTGATCCTTGTTTACAGGGAGGTCCTTTTACCGGGCACCTGAAGGGGGATTAAGCCTGTGGGGAGAAGTGTCGAACCCGAGCCCTCGGTACAGGGGTGCGGTGTGTGCAGTGTACTCAGCCT